AAAACTCTGTTGCATTGTCCACAGCAGAAGCTGAGTATATTGCAGCCGGAAGCTGCTGTACTCAACTTTTGTGGATGAAGCACCAACTCCAAGACTATGGTCTTGCCTTAAAAACTCTCCCTGTTCTATGTGACAACACCAGTGCCATCAACATGACCAAAAATCCTATCTTGCACTCTCGAACCAAGCACATAGAAATCAGATATCACTTTATTAGAGAGTTGGTCGAAGAAGGTGTGATTTCCTTAGAATTTGTTCCCACTTCCAGTCAATGGGTTGATATCTTTACAAAGCCTTTCGGCTCGGATCTGTTTCTGTCGAATCGACGGGAGTTAGGCATGTTTTCCTGGTCAGAACTTGAGAATCTGAAGTGATTCTGAGACATTCATTGTCCTTCTCTTCGTGTTTTTCTCCTACTCTTTAGCTCCAAGTCTTACCTTCCCTCTGTACATCCTTAGGGTCAGAAAATATTCGCCTTCTCTTCTTGATTTCATCCTTCCATATTATCGGATCCATGTCCTTCTCTTACCTTAATGCTCTATTCCTATATAAGAATATCTATATTCTCGTAAGTACTGTGTGCCGTCCCATCGAGAAATTCCTGAGCTTTCGGATCAAGGCTCTGGTTACCTTCTTTAGAGTTTCTCCTTCTATAAGTGAACCTCATCTCTTCTATAAAAAGCTGAAGGTTGAAATTCTTCTGACATCATTCCAAAATCTCTCCACCCTTTCAAAATCCAATGGCTGCTCCTAATCAACATGTGACATCCTTAAGGCTGGCTCAAGCAGCCATTTTCAATGGTAAAGGCTTCGAGGACGCAGCAGGATATGCTCGCTATCTTCTTCAGTTCCAAGATCGTCCTCTACACCCTTCCATTACTCTTGAACCATCGAAATTCGACAGGTATGGGATGGACATCCCTCGCCTGATCAATACCATAGGCTGGGGTGACATTCTCCCCAATCGAAACTTTGGGTTTCGACCAGAGGCTGTACGCATGTTCTATGCGAATATGAAGTCGTGTCTTCACATCTCACCACCCTGTTTCACTACCATAATGTACAACTATCTGATAACCCTAAATGTGGAGCTGCTATCATTACTACTGGGAATTCCTGTTTCTGGAGCTGAAGTCATGAATGAACTTGACTTCCATTCTGTTGAGTTCAACGAGGGAGATGCTCTGCGACTGTATACTCGTGATACAGGTCGTTATTATCCTTCGGAGTTCCATTCTGGAAGACTTCCTGATGACCTCAAGGTTCTGCATTTTTATATAACTCGGCTATTCTTACCTCGCTCCTTTGGCCTCAATACCATTTATCCTTCAGATTTATGGATTCTTGCTAGTGCCAAGGAGAATCGGGTTATTAGCTATCCTCATTTGATGTTCGACCATATGTTGAATTATCATGCTGATAACTTCGAAGCCGAGCTACCGTTTGCGCCTCAGATCACTCAGATCTTGTTGGCCTTGGGAATTGACTTAAGGTTCAAAGTCGCTCGTGTGGACATGCTTAGCTCTCTTCGTGCACAGTTTATTCTGCGCAAAGTAGATGCTTCTGTTGGTCGTCGAGCACCTATAGTCAATGCTCTAGGGGGAGACGTAGCTGCCCATGCATTCCCTGCGGATGGCCTCAGCCTTGCAGAGCTAGATGGGGATGAAGCAGTAAGGGAACCAGAAATATTTGTCAGGGATAATGGGAAGCGACCTATGGTTGATCCTTTAGAGGCTGTTCAAGCCATGTTCAGGCAGGAGGAGGCAAGCAGCAGCAGGAATATGATGATAGAGGATGAAGATGCTATTTCTGATTACGTGCCATCACCCAAATTTGACTACTAAGGGAATAATGATCTTAGGGGGAGCACCTATGTGTGCTTGTTAGGAGATAAGTATCTTAGGGGGAGTCTGGTAGAGATAAGTCTGTTTTAAGGTTAATAACATTGTCTTCAAGGGGAATAAGTATCTTAGGGGGAGTCTGGTAGAAACGAGTTTGTTTTGAGGTCAATAACAATGTTTCAAGTTTCATAAGTACGAATGTGATATCTGAATAATGTTTCAATTCATTTGCAATATGATTTGTCTGGAACAGTCTGCACGTAACCGTGTGCTAAATGTGTGCAGAAGTGGCATATGCAGCTGATAGGATCATTGACTGACTTAGGGGGAGAATGTTGGAGGAAAGTCAGTCATGAATCAGAAGATCACAGAATAAAGGAAAGAAATCGTGGGTCAGCATCATGGAGCAAGCAAGGAAGATATGCTGGAAGCGGATCAATTCAGAGGGCAAGCATTTACCGGAAAGTTTTCAAAAGAGGAGAACTTACCATTCGTGTGCTGCAACGGCTAGTGTCTGAAGAGTATAAGATGAAGACTCTGGAGCAATGAAGACTTACTTTTCGAAGATCATTCATACAGAGAGAGCGCTGTGAGTACAGCTTGTGTGTGTGATAAGAAAAGCAAGGGTAATCCAACTTCTGGAGAGAAGCCGGGTTAGAGGTGTGTGTTTGAGAGAAATACAGTAGCAGGATTGCTAGGTGATTATCGGAGAGTGAGTTGAATCAATCATCAGTCCTGGATTGGATTGAGTGATTTCGGAGCTTCAAATCCATTGTAACTGAAACAATCTCAAGATTAGTGAATCGTCGGAAATCACATCATCGTGATCTTCCGACCGTGGAGTAGTCAGAGTTGGGAATCATTTGACCCAGCTCTGGAAACCACGTAAAAAACCGACTGTGCACTGTCTCTCTAAGTTCTGTCTGTGATTGTTAGCTCATACTCTGTTTTCTGCTTAAGTTTGCTTGGTCGAGTGTTTGTTTGGAACAGGGAGTTGTGATCCAAGGTGCTCGAGGAAGAAGAAGAAGGCCTAGTCCTAAACGCACAGTTTTGAGATTAAACGTGCAGTCTTGAGTTGAGAAACTTAACTGATCAAGTTTATTGGGTCAACGAAGAAAACTGATTTGGCTTGATAGTTCAGGCCCGACCACAAACTAAACCCGATCCAGTTTATAATCTTCTATCGTTTTATTTCATTCGTTTCCACTACCATTCCGTGTTGTCTTTCACTTGTTCTTGATCAAAATCGAGTTAGGGTTTCAGGGACGAAAGAAGAGTGAATACTTCATCGAGTCCAGGCTTCTCGCGCTCGAAGCCATCAACAGAAGAAGCTAGGCTGAATCGGTACTTATCAGGCGGAGAAAGAAGTTGCGCTGAAAAACGTCTCTGTTCCGGCGGAGTAAGGAGGATTTGTCATCAGGGAGGCTCAGGGATGGCAGGACGAACGATTCTCCAGGGATGCTCGTTGCCGGCTGCGGCTTCATGCACGGGAAGAGCCAGTTGTGGCTTCGTCGGCAGGAAGAATTAGGAGCGGGCGAGGGATTTTCTTTGACGGCGGAACACTCGAAAGGGGGAGGGATGGTTGTAGAGATGCATGATTGAGTCGGGGGTAGTTGGGTCATTTCTGACCCCAATTAACGGTGAGAAAACAGAATTTTCAACATAATGGTATTTTTGTTACGTTGTAATATTAGAAGGGAATATTTGTACAAAAAAATAATATAGGGGCACGTTTGTTAATTCACAATAGTAGATGGGCAGAAAATGCTATTAACCCTAAAATATATTCCATTAATTACAGAAAACTGCATAAAGGTCCACGAGATGGCTAATATCAAGTAGAAGTCCATGCGGAGTTCTTTATAATCTCTGTTACTATCATAGAGTCGGGGTAATTTATGTGATATCAACATTCCTTTTCTTTAATTTTATGATCAATTTTTGGAAATATGTCTCGAACAAAAGATCAGCTTCCTAGTTGAGTGACTCTAACTACCAGAAACTATAGTCAGATAGTTAGAAGTTCCTTTTATCTCGCTTTGAGATACCATGAGCTATATATGAGCTTAACTAGAGTCATCTAAGCTAAGTGCCCCTCGTATTTTCAAGTCATACTACCAAAATAAGCTAAGTGCCCCTCGTATATGAGCTCAAATAAGTAGTGAACAATATGGCTCTTGATTTCATATTTAAGGAAAAGAGACCAAAATAATGTTACCCCAAAAATGTCTCTCCCGTGAAGTAGTATTTGCTATGGTTCTTAGCTAAAAGATGAGATGGTCACAGACTCTGGAATGCAATTAAGGTTTACAAGATCCATGAGAAGTTTAGATTCATTTTTTTAAAAAGAGTGGTCACAACAAGGAGTTTGTATAACATGTGTATCACTCACTCTCTTCTCCTTTCCCTCTTAGGATTAGGTTTCATTGAGCAACTAGGACATCTAAAGGTAGAGTTTGCATATGACTAACAGAATTGTGATCCCTAAAATTAGGATGGGGCTACTATATACGCTTGTGGTAGTATGATTCGAGGAGAGATACGGGACATCCCAATAGCATGCCCAAACTTTTGGTATCTTTACATTCGCCATTTCAAAATAAACTAGTTTATTCCGTGCATATACTAAATCCTAACGATTGAAAAACAATTATTTGACTATCTCCCATATTTTCTTTCTTTTTCGGACCTTATATTGTGCGATTTCCGTATTTGGAATATTTATAAATAATAATAAAAATAGTTGGTGGTTAATCAGTTTATATGACAAGTTATCTCTGAGATTTTGTTAGAAACTTTATTTTTTTCAATATTGATATTGTTTCCGTAATTTACATCAAAATATGGTATTATTCATTTGTGTTATTATTATTATTCCATATAAAAAATATGAAAAAACTCAACAGGACTCTAAATGAAAATTACCTCGGATTTTGAACTAGGATTTTCTCCTATAAAATGGACTTTAGACACAACAACAACAACCAACGAAGAATGAATTCTGCATCGCTTTTCATTCAGCTATACTACATTCTCGCTCAAGCCTTCCTTCCCCAAATGGCTTCCCCCTCCTCCTCCTCAACCTCCACTGTGATCAAGAAAACCAAAGGAAAACAAAAAATTGAGATAAAAAAAATCGAGAACAAGGCCCAAAAGATAATGAGGTTCTCGAAACGCAAAAGCGGAGTACACAAAAAGGCTAGCGACTTGGTCACTCTGACTGGTTGCCAAATCGCGGTTCTTATATACTCCCCTGCAGGAAAGCCTTACTCCTTTGGCAATCCATCTGTGGATGAAGTTGCAACCCGGTACCTTAATGAATCTCCTATTATTCATGACCATAACAGTTTCTTTCAAGCCAAGTTTGCGGAGCTGAATCAGACCCTAAATGAGTCACTCAAGGCTATAGAAGAAATCAAGGGGAAACAAAAGGCTCTCAAACCAAAACTTGAGGGAATACCGATGAACAAGCTGTGTGACGTCGAGCATGCTAGCAAGGAAGAGCTAAGGAAGATGGAGTCGGATTGCATGGAGCTTCTTGCAAAACTTGAAATAAGGAAGAAAGACATTATGGATTAAATCATTTCAAAATGTGATTTGTTGATTAAGATGTATCATGGGGTGAAAGTTTGGTGGTTTCTTAATAATAAATAAAGTGGATTCAATAATTATGCCATTTTCAAGATCTAGCTCTTTTTTCCTCATAATTTGAACAAGAAACCCCAAAATGCCCTTAGGAACAAAAACAAGCCTTGCGAGCTACACAACAGGCTACCCTTTCACATCACGCCTAACACAAAAAGCTCTAAATTCTGGATACAATGCTAAGACTCTTTGTTAAAATTGCACCACTGTCACATCCCATGCCACACCACTAGTCACCTCATCTAAGTATGGAGTGGGTAAGCGATGCAATTGAACCGCATCACATTGCACTAGCACAAACTGCACCGCATCGCGTACTAGTCGGACTGCACCGTATTGTGTTTCTGCAATTTAATTAGTGTGATAATTTCAATCATGTTTTTTTCTTCTTCCCTCGCCCCTCATGTTCATCCCTAATGATTGACAATCTTACATGTGGATGTGGTGTTGAAGCGATCGCCATTCCGACCATACTGTTTTCTAAACCCTCCATTGAAGAATCCGCAGTCTTTCTTTTTTCCTTCTTATTTCAAAATGGAACGGTTAATTAGAAAATGAGATGCACTTGCTTGAAGGACGAGGCTCTCATTTTCATCGGATGACATGGTCGATTAAGATCCTTCCATTGATGAAATGGGTGCTATGGGGCAATCCATCCTTGCATAAATTTTAGACAATTTTGAAGAATATTCCAACAATAATCGAGCTTCCATTCTTTCTTGGTGTCCGCTAGAAAATTAATTTGTTTGTTTAACCTAAATATTTTATTCATTTACATTAGTAACCTTAAACCACACGCACAAATAAGAAATTCAACCCACGGTAAAAAGATTACAAAGTCAAAAATTAGATAATTAATATAAGATACATAAGAAGACGATTAACAATGTTAAGTATATTAGAATTGCGCATTGGTAAGATGTTTGTCCTCATCCATGCCACATTCTACCCTCCGGTTATTTTCATTAGAACCGCTCAATTAAGATAGACAAGAAGTCGATTAATCACTTTAAGTATGTCAGAACTGCTCATTATATTGTACTCCAATTCCTACCCAAAATAGCACGAGGATTGACAATTACCGATCGACATGGGATTTGTGCAAGGCTCTGAAGGAGAATGGGGGGGCTGGGTGTGAAATACCTCCAATGCTTTAACAAGGCTATGTTAGGAAAATGGCTGTGGAAGTATGCGAGTGACAGAAACAGTTGGCGGAGGAAGTTGATTTCGACGAAATATCCATATGATTCAGAATGGCAAAGCAGAAGGTGCAGGGGTCGGTACGGAGTTTCGGTTTGGGCTAATATTACAAAAGAATACGAATCCTTTTGGAAGGTCTGCCATGTCGATCCGGGCAGCGGTGCTTGGGTTTCTTTTTGGAAAGATTGCTGGGTTCCAAATAAGATCTTAGTGGAAGCTTTTCCAAGGGTTGTCGTTGCTGCCGCCGTACCGGAAGCCTGGGTTTCTGACCTCGCCAACAACACAGGTACGGGTACTCTTTGGAACTTAAAAGTCAATATTAATTCGAGAGGGGATCTGAGAGAGAGAGAGAGAGAACGGAGTTCTTCAATGTCATTAATTCAGCCGTTACTAATCAAGTTCTTAGTGGCTCTAGTAGGGTGGTCTGGTCCCCAAAACCAGAGTTGTCCTTTTTTGTTCGACTTTTGTACATGCACCTCATTAGAAGCAGGTTCCCTGGCGTGGAGCAGTTCCCGTAAGAATTTGTTTGGAGGAATTTTGTGCCTCACAAGATCCGTGCGTTCATGCGGACGGTGGCCCATATGAAGATCCTCACTCTAGACTACCTGCAAAGGCGAGGATGGGTTCTTGCTAACTAGTGTTGTCTGTGCTTCGAGGCTGAGGAATCCATAAACCACCTGTTCATTGAGTGTGTTTTCATCAAGGAAATCTGGGAGGCTGTTAGAAGGGTATGCAACAACATTTCGATTCCCTCGGGTGACATCCTAAGCACTATTAGACGATGGAGCTGCGACTATCCGGATAACCTCACCGATTGGATTGTATACGGGGCGCTTCACATGATCTGTTGGCAGGTATGGCTCGAAAGGAATCAGCATTTAGAGATCGGAGTCAAGGGCTAGTCGCTGTTTTCTAGAAGTCCATCAGCTGGATTGTTGAGTGCGTTGTTGCGTTCGGTAAATCCAGCAAGGAACAGGGAAAGGAGTGGCTGAGGAACAACAACTTTCAGAGTTTTTAGCTTTATGTGTGATTCTTTGGGCTATGCTCTCGAGTTTGTTGTTGTTTGCTGGTGCTTGCAGGGAGGTATGGTTGCTGCTATTTGCTTCCCCTGCTGGTAGCGAGAGCTAGCAGGGTGATCTGGTTGTTGTTGTTCGCTTCCGTTGCTGCTGGCTTTTTGGGTTTTGGGTCAGGGGCTGCTTGGTCAGCCTAGACGGGGGGTGGGTTGTCTATTTCGGCTCCAGGATGCGTAGGGATGTGCTTTATGTTGATTTTCTTTTGTATTTCTTTCATTCTCTCGGTTAATTATGGGGTGTTGGCTGTACTTCTCATGCGGCTTGAACCTTTGCTGGGTTGTTTTTTCTTTTATTAATAATATTTCTCTCATCATTATCAAAAAAAAAATATCTTCATATATTTTTTCAATTGGGATTGCTATAGTTTGGAGAAGACATGATGAACATTGTAGAGTGTTTGTGAAGATGAGAGATTTTTTTTATGAGAATAAGTGACAATTTAGAAGAAAGTGAAGAACATGTACTACTTATAGAGCTATATAAAAATTTTCGTCGAAAAAATGACCATGAAAAAAAATCGTGCAATATAAATTTGGCTGTTGAAACAAAGCTCAAACGTCGGGAGCTGATTCCCACTTCTAAATTCTGAAAACACTTTTTAATTTTCCGTTGAGAGCATGTGTTCGATTCGCTCCTCCACCTCTAGGCCTTGCTTGAGTAGCACACGCCTTGCTAGCTATCAGTGACCCGACCGATGGTCAACGACTCATCAATTTTTTACTTTGTGTTTTTTGACCCTCAACGACGGGTGGTAATAATATAACTCTTTTTTTCTTTGATTGAAAACAAATTTATAGCACCATTAACTCATAAAATTAATACAACAGAGAAAGATTCCCAAAACATCATATAATGATAGTATAATACTACATCTAATCTCAGGATCATGCTCTAAAATATGATTAGCACATGATCCGATCCGTTTGCCTGAAGAATTTTGTCGAGAAATATAATATATAATGATGAATATATAATAGATGATTTGAAATGCATAAAATGATTGTTTTATAACTTAGTTATGCACATAACATTTTCGAAAGTGATCCAACTATGCATAATGTGTTTAGACCTCCATGAAAAGAGAAAAATATAATATAAGCATTACTTATAATTATTGAATTAAAAAAGAAATAAATATAACTAATTGTCATTCATTACTTAATTAAACCATATAGTTGAATATTAGAGTTTTTTTCTCATAATACATACATAATCAACCTTTAAGATGAAAGGAAATGTCTTTCATATAGTTTAGTATGTCCTTTAAGTTGTTCCCAATAGAGAGCATTTTTTTTACCACACCATTGGTAATGAATCTGAAGTTACTTGATTTGAAATATATAGGACATGATGCTAAATTGTCGCTAATAGTTAGTTGGACAATGTGTTGTGTATGGATTTCCAAAATTATTCTCAGATCGTAGACATGTCTAACAACAATGTAGTAATTTTCATGCAGCAAATATTTTTTTCATGAAATAATTCAATAAATAATAACCTATGAAAATCATATTACATGAAATATATGTTATTCATTAAGTTGATGTATGAGCGAGGGTATAAGTAACATACATTTATTTTAAAATATAAAAGTTGCAAAGTGTCTTTTGGCTTGAATGAGATCGCATATTCTCATTAACGATAACTGACTTATGCTTTTTAGCAATGTTGTCAGAACCGAACCATAGTATGACCCGATATTATGAACGGCTTGCATTTTAATGGATCAATCGGTATTTGGTCATTTAAAAACCGGTAGAGAACCGGTAGCTTATAAACAATAATAACATAGGTAGAAGACACAAAAGTAGTAACTTAACAATTTAATGACTAAAATATAATTTATCAGGTACCACATAATATATATTAATAACTAAATAACCCTACCCACCCCACAAACCCTAAGCAGCAACGCCGCCGCTCACCCCCTCTCTCAAACTCTCGATTCTTTTCTTCCTCCTTTTTTCTTGGATTCTTCTTCTAAAAAACTCTACACCCACTTGCAGCAGCCCATTGTATTATACCTTAGGCGACCGCAGAGGCAACCTCATCGCCTCCCTTTGGAACATCTCTGATAGGTCACGGCACAAAAGCTCCGCCGCGCTCGCCGCCACCACCACCGCCCACTGATTTGTGCCGCGTCTGCTTCACCAGCGCGACTCGATCGAGGAATTGACAACCCGACATATTCCCCCTTTCCTATCAATTTTGAATTTGTTTTTAACCAACCTTCCGAAACGGAAAAGTCGGGTGTTCGGCTCGGGCGGCCCGAGCGGTTAACCGCCTTGGCCGCTCGCTGACCGCCCCAAAAATCCGTTTTGGCTAAATAGCTGTGTCCAGCCGGTTTGATGGTCGGGTGGCAGTTTTACCGGTCTGGCCGGCTCGGCTTTGATAACACTGCTTTTTCGCAATAGTTAGTTCAAAATGTGACTTTTGTTTTCACCAGTATAAAAGAATTGTTTGAACCAAATGATTAAAATAGTATCGAAAAATTTGGTAGCAGAGTATTTTATACTGAAATCATAATTTAACTATGTTTCAACTATTTTATATTGCTAAATATCACGTATCGATTTAGCCTATGGTGTGAAGTTTTATGGTCCAACCGCCAGTACGTACGATCTTTCAATTCAAACTTTAAATAAAAATCACTAAAATATT